AATGACGCCATTTCAAGACGCGTCGGGGTCATTAGGAGTCAATGACGTCATCTTTTAGATGCAGTATAGCTAAAGATTGTTAAGGTTTATTTCACAGACGTGATAAGCCTCACGCCGTAAGAACTACACGTACACGGTGTTGGTTGGTGTTACTCCTTAAATGTCTCTTTCCTCATGGTCAAATTGCCCTCTTGTCTGCCATTGTTGATTACTGCGCATGTCAACAGGACAAGATGAACACACAGGCTACGTCATTGATCACTGGGGTCTTAATGACACCCTCCTGGTCCCTATAATTATCTTGGGTTGTCGTACGTTTGACTCTAGGCTGTAAATTCCAATCATCTTGGTTTCCTTTTAAGCGTCTCTTGGAGTGAGGCCGAGTTCAAACTCGCGATATTACGTTTCTCAGTGCGTGTTACATTGTATGAGAGACTTCCAGGAACTATCTAGTTGAGGGAGAAGTTTGTAAGTATTGCAGCAGTCATACTGTGTGAGTGGTATTATAAGTCAGTAGGTTGATACCGTTCCGTGACAACAGATACATCAAGAGGTCTGTTTGTTCTCGAAACACCGGTGCTGATATTGATCGTACGAAGGAGTGAAAACGACCAGTTTGATCTGTATCGCTGGTGATGAACCGCGTTTAACGAAGGTGATAGCGAGATAGGGGCTACATGAGTGGGACGTGACAGGCAGAACAAAGATAGAAAGATGGAGAAAACAGATAATGCGGACAAATCAAGATGAAAGAGAAATCACATGGAAAGACCGTCTTGGATCAGCTTCACTAAAACAGCACTATAGGTGGTCTGGGAAATAAAAATAAAATGATAATATTCAAATGCAAGATAAAAGTTAATGGCTATTGTATTTAACTGAAATATGAGTGATATTGGTGCACATGTTTGCATGAGTTGCCATTAATGGCTGGTGCAGTGTGTAGGCTTCCGTGATATAGCCGATAGGAATCGATTACCTAATCTCAACCCGAAACCTTATTGTTGATGTGTTTCAATCTTTAATCACGCCACGAAAACGGTGAAAGGACGCAGAACGAGATAAACAGCATATATAACAATAATATGTGACATTGTTTCTGCGACAGTGTGTCATTTTTGGTATATGTTAGCGTGCGTTGTTAATAAATATCTTTTGTTTGCTCGTTTTTAAAATTAACAGTCCGTGTTCAAGTAAGTGTCTTTCTCTGCAAGTTTCATTTTATATAGAATTCTGCTCTTGAACAAATAAATTGTCTTGTAAAACCAAAAATTATGTTGTAGAATGTTTATGTGTGACGTTCCGATGACTAGTATGATGCGTAAGTATGACCAGTGAAGCGTACGAGCATTGAGAAAATCGACGTCGGTGTACGAAATGACGAATCGAATCGACAAATCGATTCGGCTACTCTTTGTTTAATCGACGTCGATTTTATATTGCAAACTCGTACATATTTTACACCTTTGCGTACAAACGCCTCAGTGATCATTTGTCTGACGAAGGTGACAAGGTACGTAATGTACTAGTCATCAAAACGTCACAAATAAACAGTTACTGGTTGTGCTACATAACCTTTCTACAATCCATTCCTACCACCAGAAGAAACTGTTTACACAAGTGATATCGTTAAAATAAATTTCGTATCAAATGACGACAGGACAACCATCTCATGCATTGTTAGCGTCTCAAGGATCCCCACTGAAAACACTGTAAATAAGTAGTGGACACAGTGTCTTCCCGGCTATGATTGAAGCTTTGATAAATAATTCCTGAGATGAAAACCCTACCGTCCGGGACCTTCATGAGATACACTAGTGACAAAGATGAAATACACGAAATATAATCGTCACCGGGGCTAGCCGAGATTTGAACATTGGACTTCAGATTATACTATCGCTCTACCTAATTGTACTACCGGGTCAACGGAAGTGTTCTGGTCAAAGTGCGCTACAGTCATATCCAAGCGGGCGGAAGTGAAGGGGGAGGGGCTGTAGGGACAGGGATTCTGAAACACATTACCCTACACTAGGTTATACACCAAACAGACACATATGAGAGTGCCACGTGTTTCCTGTGCCACAAGTGGATCCACCATTTTCCATTTTTGAAATTCTGATTACATGTGCACCTTTCATCCTTTGTCAATGTCCGGGCGTTGTTGTCAATGTTCGGGTGTTGTTGTCATCGTTCGGGTGTTGTTGTCAATGTTCGGGTGTTGTTGTCATTGTTCGGGTGTTGTTGTAATTGTTCGGGTGTTGTTGTCAATGATCGGGCGTTGTTGTCAATGTTCGGGTGTTGTCATTGTTCGGGTGTTGTTGTCATTGTTCGGGTGTTGTTGTCAATGTTCGGGTGTTGTTGTCAATGTTCTGATGTTGTTGTCAATGTTCGGGCGTTGTTGTCAATGTTCGGGGGTTGTTGTCAATGTTCTGATGTTGTTGTCAATGTTCGGGTGTTGTTGTCATCGTTCGGGTTTTGTTGTCAATGTTCGGGTGTTGTTGTCAATGTTCTGGTGTTGTTGTCAATGTTCGGGGGTTGTTGTCAATGTTCTGATGTTGTTGTCAATGTTCGGGCGTTGTTGTTATTGTTCGGGTGTTGCTTTCATACATCAGGGATATGTTTGACAGTCACGTGCCACATAAAATGTATCATTAATGATGTACAACTTGTTTTGGGGTTTGGGATATCAACATTTACGGTACACAAGTCCTTCTTTTCTCTGATTATACAATCCACTTTATAACCATGTCTACTGAGCGTATATACTGCATGCAACTAATAATTCTATAATGGAAATGTTTTATTTATGTTTTGGTGTAACCGCCTTATCCACATAACCGTTTCACTCAAGGACAGTGACTACTCGGTCTAAAGCCGCAAAGGATACAAGCCTGTCTTAAGAGTCTCAAGATCTAGAAAAATGGAAATTGGTCGGCGATTTTCCCATTTGTCTGATACCGGCTATATACCATTTGTAACGATAGTGAAATCTAACAATGGCGGGCTCACTGGTCCGCTATTACTATGCGTGACACATGGCCGTATCGGTCTCCTTTTCTACGGTAATTAGAAAGTCCCTCTCGGACAAGGTCGACACTCGGTATAAACCGCCTAAAGTGAAATAACACATTACACTACAATTCACTTTATCAGTTTTCAACAAGGACTGTTAAAGACAGTGACGAATGGTATGACTAACAGACAAAGACGGATACGGTCGTAACGATTCCGGGATATGGCTTATGTCACCATCGTTGAGACCGATCATTCGGATGTGACATTCTTTTTATGCAACAAACACCTAGTTTAGTTTGATTCATTTCTTACTGACATAGTTCTGAGTGTTTTAAATTTGATAAAAAAACAGGCATGTGGTTAAAAATTAGCTAAATACTGTCTAGGAGATGGAGTATCATCAAAACAGTTAGTTTAGGAATGTTCGTAGACAACGAATGTTCCCTGTGCTTTTTTCTCAAGCGGAAGTTAGTATAGTGCTACACTTTGTATATTGCCAACGCAATTACTATTTACAAACTTTATTTATTTTACAACAATTATGAAACACGTTGGTTCAACTTAATTTAATCACTCTTGTTGGCCCGGATGTTAGCGCGCGGGTGCGTGGGTGAAAACTCACGTGGTCGTGCATGTGACCCCATACCTTTTCATGTCTGATCGGGGAATCGAACCCCGGTCTCCTTGGTGAAAGGCAAGTGCGCTATCCACTGCGCCACCCGACCAACCGCAATCAGTAGGCAACACATACATTAATGTATGTTAACGTACACCAAATCAGAAGTCGTCTCAATTCATCTATCAGGGGAGGCAACCCATGTTAAAGACAGTCGTTGCATCTTACATTTAACTACATTTATGATGCAGGGAAATTCGATTTTGAGAAAAAACCCAACAAAATCTTTTAAAATTGAAACGAATTAAATGGCAGCATTTTTAGATTAAATATGGACTTTGTATGAAATTCAAAATGTTACTGTTTTTTAATATCAAAGGCCTAATAGGGTGTTAGCAACATAGATAAGCAAACTTGCCCATATATTAAGGCTATTTAGTGTTTGTCGATGTCGTTGCTGTTCTGTAAGGATCATAAGACTAATGGAATTAATCACTCTTGTACGATGTAGACAGGTTAATCTAAACCCGAGGGCGATATTTTGTGACGTTCAGAACGAGGCTTAGCTGAGTACTTAACATTAAAAATATATTCCAGATGGTTGAGATATCGGAATCTGTATCACACAGGACTGACTGGTGATTTTTTTCGCACACTTTTCTACCGACAAAAGTGAACTCCATGCCTCGCGCCATCATCACGGGATGTGTGAAATGTGTGATAAATTGATGACGCTACCGTGTTCTACTACATGAAGTGATGACGCGACTGTGACGTTTACTTAAGAATTAACTTGAAATTATTTTTCATGTTATGGAGCTCTAGCACAAAAAAGGGAGTGTACTCTAAATAAACCGGGAAGCGGTTTATGATGAGAGTACACTCCGTTTTTTTGTGTTATAGCTCCATAACATGAAAAGCATATTCAAGTTAATCCTTATAATTTAATCTTCTATACACAATCCATGTGGAAATCCACTTTTATTGATGGACTTTTTTCTTTTAGAAATTATTGCGCTGCTGTATCAGCCAATCAAAAGCGACGTTTCAAACGGCCACGTCATTTTTTTTACGTTATGGACTGATAACATAAAATTTTAAGCCAATGAAAATGCTTGTAACAAGCAAGATTGAATTATATAATAATAACACCTGTAAACTATACGTCTTTCCAACGTCAACAATATTGGTCAAAATTATGTTTATTTCTCCTCCGACAATGGGAATGGACCTGTGGAGTGTTGGAGGAAAACAATGAATCTGCTTTCTTTTATATAACAGTGCAGTATTCATTTTTCAACGTTCATCAAACCTCCAATTGAGGAAATGATCTCAAGTAGTGTTTTGTAGGTAAGAAAATTATACTCACGTGTAACTTAACCTGAGTAGATACGTCTGCTGATATCGAACCTGTAAAGAAAGCGAAGAACATAAAGACACTTGTATTCAAAGCTACTAATATTGCAATCAAAGTCAGGATATCATTTCAATGTGATAATATTAAGATTTGATAGGACTTGCTACACGTAACATTACAAGATGGTTTTATAAATATTTGAATGACAATTTCCTTTCTAACGATTTTCCGAGTTGTCCAGATAAACGAAATATTTATGTATTGGAAACTCGCTCCGATAATATATATGGTGCGAGTAACGTTGTATGGAACTTCTTGTGTTCATAACCGTCAATCGTATTTTAATTAGATTATATATTTCTTCAAAAACGAAGTACATGATATGATAACATAAGAAAACAGTCCTGTATGATAAAATAAGTTTTTTTTATCTCCGGTTTATTTTTTATAATTATAAGATTTAGACAAGCTTCGATTGGTGAGTTACAAGTGGACATTGTAAATATCGGGATCAGCTTTGTAGACTGCGCTAACACAACAGTATCGGGGACATCTGGGCTTCGTTTATCTTTAGATTACGATGGTAACCCAGTCTATGTCCCACGTGTTCTAAATGTATGACGTCATACCCAATGGCACACACCACAGAAATGACGGACTACAATTAATTATCACTGGACAGGAAGACACAAGAGCAGAACCACATCGCTGGTGCAAAGCTGTGCATCTGTTTCACGGTACACCAATGCTATTTATGTTACATGTACCTCCCTTTGGTTCTCATTCAAATGAATTTGATATAACATCCCATTTTTATTATTATTCAATTATCTGTCCATCTTTTGCAAATGCTAAATGAGATGAAAGAACTGGGTTTGCGTTTGTTTTATCAGAATATATTTTGTATAGATTTTATATGCGATGTAAAGTAGGAAGTCGGCAACAGGCAAAGTCTATGGAATCCCTCTCGTTAGGAAGCACATACTTTTCGACGTATTGTTTACAATATCCTCGAGTCCATCAAAAACAGTTCCGTTTTGGTGTACTATATGGAATCCGATTGTTCACCCTGTGGAATGTCTAACCTTCTCGTTCTCTAGTCCTGCTTATACTGTACCACCTACAATTACCTCATTTGAACAACATTCACACATTCAGGCGGATAATTCGATGCTAGTAGATTATTCCGGAGAATAATCTCTTTTGGGTATAAACACAATCGACCATTGATCCATGGCTACCTCTATATAGGGATGTAGACGTATAACAGGCCAGTGTATGGAGAGTTATAGAGAGTGACAATCACTCCAGTCACTTTCAACTTTAAAAAGGTGCAGACTTCATGTGTATTGCAATGACCTTTACCGTGACAGTGCACGCGCCGTTGTGCCAAATATGTGAAGTCACTGCTATTTTCGTAAACGCCAATTCGTTGAATGGTTTTCGTATAAAAATGATTTTTAATGTTGTTATGATAATTATCAAAACATTGGTTGATTCATTGAAAGGGTTATCGGGAAGAAGTTTCTGAAACTATGTTTTGTGGTGCAGCGAGCTCCAAACAATGTGCATGCAATGCGTCCTTTCGTCAGACATCAGTACGATTTATATAGGAGAATAAGTGTCAAGAAAAAGAGTGTTTCTCGAATTATATAATAAATGGAATCTAACACTCGTGTTCATGTAATATTGAATTTATTGAACGAGTTTATTAATTTCATATGAAATTAATAAACGAGTTAAATAAATCCAATATTATCTCGTGTCAGATCCTCTCTTTATATATTTTTCAATAATAAGCGTACATGTACAATGCCAAATCCTATTTATGACGGCTATAGAATGGTTGTTGGCTCAGACTGCTTTTGATGGATTTTCGCTTGAGCCTAACGATGTTTTGGTAATATACTAATACAGTACACTACTCTTTATGTTGAGACTGCTGTATGCTGTATTGTTTTTATGTGTCGTTCCAATGGTGAAGAAGTGGAAAACCTCTGTGGTAGCTCGGTAAACCTCTGTGGTAGCTCGGTAAACCTCTGTGTCTGTGGTAGCTCGGTAAACTTTTGTGGTAGCTCGATAAACAATTGTGGTAGCTCGGTAAATATTTGTGGTAGCTCATCAGTAAACCTCTGTGGTAGCTCGGTAAACTTATGTGGTAAACCTCTGTGGTAGCTCAGTAAACCTTTGTGGTAGCTCGGTAAACCTTTGAGGTAGCTCGATAAACCTCTGTAGCAGCTCGGTAAACCTCTGTGGTAGCTCGGTAAACCTCTGTGGTAGCTCAGTAAAATACTTTGGTAGCTCGGTAAACCTCTGTGGTAGCTCGGTTAACCTCTGTGGTAGCTCGGTAAACCTCTGTGGTAGCTCGATAAACCTCTGTGGTAGCTCAGTAAAATACTTTGGTAGCTCAGTAAACCTCTGTGGTCGCTCGGTTAACCTCTGTGGTAGCTCGGTAAACCTCCGTGGTAGCTCGATAAACCACTTTGGTAGCTCGGTAAACCTTTGAGGTAGCTCGGTAAACCTCTGTGGTAGCTCGGTAAACCTCTGTGGTAGCTTGGTAAACTTCTGTGGTAGCTCGGTAAACCTTTGTTGTAGCTCGGTAAACCTTTGTGGTAGCTCGGTAAACCTCTGTGGTAGCTCGGTAAACCTTTGTGGTAGCTCGGTAAACCTCTGTAGTAGCTCGGTAAACCACTTTGGTAGCTCGATAAACCACTTTGGTAGCTCGGTAAACCTTTGTGGTAGCAGCTCGGTAAACCTCTGTGGCTCGGTAAACCTCTGTGGTAGCTTGGTAAACTTCTGTGGTAGCTCGGTAAACCTTTGTTGTAGCTCGGTAAACCTTTGTGGTATCTCGGTTTACATCCGTGGTAGCTCGGTAAACCTTTGAGGTAGCTCGATAAACCTCTGTGGTATCTCATTGTATATGATGTTTCATCTCTTTGCTTTCCACTGTTTCATCATTTTGCTTACTTGCTTACTTTGGCATTGTTTCGTTTTTGCATTATTTTCGGGTTTTCGCCTTTTTGTTATTTTGCTCTGTCACTTGGTCGTCTTCTTGTGGACAAGAACAAGAAAAAAGAAGAAATGACACGTACAAATTGTATGGGGCGAACGCTGTAGAGGATATCTGTCTTGATAAGGGCGTGTTAAACATAAAGTTCAATTCTGTAAATTGAAATTCCTGTCAATGTCTTCAATACACTTTCTAATACAGTACATTATTTTCTTCATCAAATGAGTTCGCTCGTGTATTTCGCCTTTTCCCGGTCAGAATGTCACTTATTCCCCAGGGCATGTCACATCGTTAGGCACATCTACTGCTGTACTGGTATGTATCTAATATGTGTGAATAAGATTATGTCCTCTGGATAGTGCACTTGCCTTTCACCAAGGCGGCCGGGGTTCGATTCCCCAATCTGATGTGGAAAGGTTGGGGTCACCTGCCCGATCACGCGGGTTTTCTCCGGGTAATTCGGTTTCTTACCACACTGACATAAGTTGAAATAACTTGTTCCATAATTGTTGAAAAATAAATAAAGTTATATATTCGAATTTTAACAAAAGCAGATTTCATGCACACAAAGAGTCCATTTAAGGTGAACATGAATTATAGCTCAATAAACAAAATATGATATCAGTATTTTTAAACGTTAAAATAAGTGAGTCATTTATGGCAATGAGTAAGATGTTCTAAGCATGGTGATATCGATTCAGGATAAATGCCTGCACTGCATTCCAGACATTAAATGACCAATACGTGAATTATCATCTCGCTTCGACGTAGAAGACATTTTCTATTCTTAAAAGTAAACATCGTTTTGTGCATGCTCAGGTGGTTGGGGGTGCGCCAACAACTGGAACTAATACGTATAGCGATACAATTAAGGATTTCGTGATTATTAATTAAAAACGCCAAGAAAACCTTGGATCATAGAAAGCTAACTTAATTAAAAAGCAATTTCAAGAACACCACTGTCGTACCAGTGTGTGATCCTGAGGTGTTTCTATGTAGTGGCTAGTCCCGACGTTAATACACTATGTACTGTAAATACAGAAATGACAATATATCCCACGTCGTTCTCACTACTTTATCTAAAAGCAACGTCCAAGAATGTGAAAAGAAGTATATTTAGTATGACGCACTTTTCGTCCTGTTTTCGATCGTTTTACTAGAGAAAAAAAAGATTTTGTTGACAGCTTTCCAAAGCCAGAGACAGGGTTGTGATAAACACGTGTTCCGACCCTAAATGAAGTTCGCCCTAACTCTGGAAACACGAAATTATGGCAACCTATTGTAAAATATTATAAAATAGTGTTTAAACAAACGGGTAGAGAACTGATGAGACTGACGAAGCTTTTGGATGGTCTGATCGTCACACGTGTTTGGCACCAGTCCAGGGACGTCACGTGGGACGTCGTGTGCATTAAACCTATAACGACAACTGGAGCTACATTTACACGGTTAGTAAGACGAGTGGTACAGACAACGTCATTATAAATAATAAAAAAGAAAAGAACTAGATGCCCATTTTATTATATTGAACAATACTTTTTGTTTTATTTTAATGGAAAAACATGATATGGTGATTCTACAAGTAAAGAAAGATATTTCAGTTTTAAAAATGATTTGCAAATACCAGTAAAACTTGATTTCTGAAAAATATTTTCATATGTAATTAAATATGATTTCCTTTTCTAGTTAATAAATTTTAACACTGAGGTATGATTAAAAAAGGACCCCCACACCTTTACTTTCCATATAAATTGAACAGATTATTTATGTCATCTTCTCTATGTCAGAGTACATAACGTCAACTTGTTTCAGGCATTGCCTTTTTCATATCAAATATCGTCGTCACTTTCTTAAAAAATATAGTGACATTACGATATTCGGTTGATTTTTCCCCCCGAAGATTTTAAATGCAGAATCTGTGTTCTTCGATGAAGCGTCTTGGGTTTTATTTGGTCTTTGGTACTTTAGGAGATCGACCAACAGCCTAAATTTATTTTGCCCATTCTGATAAATCGTACTATGCGTTGTATCCAACATGTTCCAAC